CCCCAAAACCCCAAAACCCCAAAACCCCAACAATAGTAATAACTATTGAATATTGAAATGGTATTAGATCCACAATCTTATTCGGTTAATTCCCCATCCCGATAAACATCCTCATCATGGGTTTTCTTAGGGATACTCCAAAGAAAATGAGGGGTCAGGAAGTTCTGATTTTGGAGCTTTTCAATCAACTCAGAAGTTTGTGAGATATCAGACTTCTTATATTGAGCAAAAGAAGTGGATTTCTCATAAATCTTCTTCATTTCATTATAAATGTTAAATAGTTGATTTCTTGCTTCAATAAGTTTTTGAACACTAAATAGAGCTGATTAGGGGTTTGTTGATAAGAAACTTACATTCTTTGGATCTTCCTTCTGCAGGTAGCTAGGCTCCTACCATCCTTCTCAAGGAAATTTTGCACTCCTTCGCTAAATCTGTGCTCGAGGAAAATATCCTCAGGAGTGGTTGCGGTTTTATATGTGTATTTTTGATTTCTTTTAGCCTTACACTTTTTAATCCATTCAGAAACATGCATATTTTTGTGGCATGATTGGAGTGTTTTAGTTTGCAAACTTGCAACATTGGAGATAATGTCTATGAATTAGACCACTGAGTTACCTCTGAATGCTTTCTTGATGAAATCGATTCTTTCATTACTATAATGATTTTATTGGTTAGTTTCAAGATAGTAATCACAAACGTTCGAGGAATGAGGAAGGAATAATTTTTAATGAAAAGGAAAGAGATGACTCCCTGATCTAGGATTTTAAGTTGGTTAGTGCTTACCTATAATCAGCTGTATGCTCAGATGTCTGCTCAAGAGTGGAGAACCTGATCTCATCAGGATTTTCTCTAACTCCTGGATAGAGCTTCTCATACAAGAAGTGCTCGTACTCAAACAAAGGATGCTCAAAACTCATTTGAGCATTCTGTGTGGTACTTGTTTGTGTTATATCAGTCTAAATGATCAAGATGCTCCATTTACCTTCACAGAGTTTTCTTTCGACTGAGAAAGGATGAAATTTTTGTGCTTGAGGAGCTCATTCTCCTTCATAAGATTACGAATCTTATCCTCAAGTATGGTAATATACCTTCTCTTCCTCTCTCTACACTCTTTAGACCTCAGTTTGTTACTCTTAGGAACTTTCCTCTTCTGAGGAGTATCATCATTCCTAAGACCTGAGACTGTTTGCATTATTGAAAATTAGTTCCTAATTGCCACAATATTTTTTAATCTAAACGATTGATTTCAGCCACTCAGAGCAGACCTGGGGTTTTGGGGTTTTGGGGTTTTGGGGTTTTGGGG